AGCCTCGCTCCCTAGGATTTGAATGGCCACGACATGGTCACTAATCCTCCACTTCTCCTTGTCCATGACCCCCATTTTGACCACGTCTCGGGCGGCACCCCGATCACACGCCCGGTGAACTCCGGCAGGACGTGCCCTGGCAGCGAGGGGTCGACGAAGTTCTTCAGGTAGAACCACAGGGAATGCCACCCCTTGTTTGAGGTAGAAAGCCTCATGGGAACGTATTCCCTCACCCGCTAGTTTCGAAGGTGGATACCGGTGCACCCCATCGGCATCACCACCTCCGGTCGCTCGACGTCGGGAGCCTTCCTCTTCTGAAGGTCGATCACGAAGAAGTACCTCCATAAGTCGAGACACGGCTCGATCCCCAAATATCACTCATAAAGCATGACGAAACCCACGAGGTGTTGGATCCCATTCGGGGTTAGATGCTGAAGCTCGATCTTATACTGGTGAAGGAGCCCGACGAAGAAACGGTGGGGAGGAAAAGCAAATCCACGCTCGTGGAAACGCAAAAATGAGATCACGTACCCCTCAGGCAGACGCGAAAACTCCTTGCCATCGACCGGCAACCACTCTTCCACGATGGACCGCGGAGGGAGGAGGCCACGACGGATGAGATCTTCAAGCCCCTCGAGGTCACACTCTGAACGACACCACAGCACCATGGCACGTGGGGACGGGAAGGAGCAAGGGTCATGGCGGCAGAGGGGCGTGAGAGCAGCCGATCGAGGGCCCAATGGCGGTGAGGCAGCGGTGGAAGGTGAGTGGGTAGACGTGTGAAGAACTCGAGGAACTGACCTCTCGATTTTATAGAGATGAGCGAAACAAGGAAGCGACTCGTCTGCCTAGATCCTCCTGCTCGTCGTGTCCCATCGCCACGCCACTTAATGTGCGAGAGCCCGGCCCGCCACCTCGATAGTCACGACAGGAGCCCAATCCTTCCATAGCAAGAACGGTCCCACCAAGGTAAGAAAGGGATACGGGGCTCTCGACGCACCCCACGGACCATTAAAGCCCACAAGTTTGAAGGCTGGCCCGTCGATGGGTTTGACAGCCGCTTGGGGCATCCATAGAGCAAGGGGTGGGCAAGGATGGGCCCGCTAGCAGCCTGTGCCAAGACATGCGGAACATTAAGGATGTCCAAGCCCGCGTTTGAGTCTCGACGTAGCCCGGCCCATGGTTTCTCCCGAAGAGAGGCAGCGAGCCCCCGAAGTCGGTCGAACGGCTTCGAAAACAATATGGGCGGCCGTCGCAAAATTTGGAGTCGGACGCCAGCCAACCCCCGCTGAATCGGGGCTCCACTCAAACTAACCCGTAAAAAGCTGAAAGAGCCCCAGAGTTCACCCAATGAGGAAAACCTGGCGTGTCTCCCGCCCTCCGTCCCACGAAGGAACGCGCGAGGGAAGCAAGCACAAGATGAAGCAACCCCACGGTCAGACCTCTGCCCCGTACGAAGGCCCCGGGGCTTGACATTACAAAAAGACCCGAGCACGCGGTCACACAACCTTTCCAGCGGTCTACGTCTAAATCGGTGAACCGTCGACAAATCGAGCGAGACGAAATGCCACGACGTCGTAACATAGGTGCTCCGCATCCCTGAACGGTCGGCCCAGTCTAGAAAAATGGAAGATAAGCCTCTAAGGGGATAAATCACCCCCAGAGGCTCGGGGGCTACTGTCGGGTATCCATATTAGGGATACCCCGGCGGTATGAAGGAAATGGCCATTAACCTTGATGGCCCGAGCAATTAAGGGTTAGATTCTAGTCTCAGCCGACCCCTCAAGGGGAGATTTCGCCCCACCGATCCTAAGGGCGCAGGCTCAGTCTCGCTTGACCCCCTAGGGGGAGACCCCACCTCGCCCGACCCCCCGGGGAGGACTCCGCCTCGCCAGACACCTCGGGCACAGGCTCTGTCTTGCCCGACCCCGAGGGCATGGGCTCCGCCTCACCCAACCCTGAGGGCGCGGACTCCGCCTTGCTCGATAGGGGTCCGTACCGCTCCCAACCACTATGGGTCTCAGAGTATGGGTCCGGGGTCAAACTTCTGACACTGGAAAGGGAGTAAGCGCATCTTGACGTAACCCGCGGCCACAACGGGCCATGATTGGGGGTTCACATCGCCCACAGTGTTGGACGTGCTGACACTATGCTACCTAACCTCCGTACGGCCACTGACAGAAAGGCCGGTTCTCCACGCCGTCCGTTGGGACGAAATAGAGCGCCACGACCGGATGACAACGCCTGCATATGGCACCAGTGGTGAATAGGAGCACGACATGAAGGCCATCTCTGTCATCGTCTACAGCATTGGCAGGACTAGCATAAAGGAGAAGGACGCGGCGGCCCCGAAGGCCTTCGGCTCCTGAATTTCTCTCTCTCTTTCTTTCTCTCTCGTGTAACCTGCGTCTTCCCCTTCTTCTGTAAAAGGGGAAGCTGGACGCCCCGCAGAAGGGGAGGGGGCGAGACAGCTAGGGGGACACGCACACAAGCACCCAAAGATTGAGCTCTCAAACTCTCCTCACAGAAAGACTTGGGACCCCCGGTTCCTCTCTCGACCGTTTGTAACTACTACTACAAACTCAGCGCAAGTAACATGAGTCGCTCGATACTGAACGTAGAGACGTTCTGCCCGAACCAGTATACATCTTCGTGTCCTCTTGTGCACCATCCGGGCTTTGACGCGCAATCACTAAAACTTCATCAGTCGGCGATTCAAAATACCGACAACGTGTGTAAGCTGTTACCAAAGGAGCACAATTAAAAACATTTGAAGAGAGAGAGAGAGTGGTGTGATGCTGTGAGCGGTGACTGACGGAAGTGTGCGGCAGCACATGAGTGGGACCTACACGGAGGAGTGTCATTGGAAAAAGAAAATACAAGGAGAATACGGCGGAAAAAGAAAGTTGGCACAGGAGAATACGACGGAGAGAGAAGGTTGTTACAGATCTCGAGAACAGCTTTTGACGGTGAGGATAGTAGCCATCCAGCATGAACATATGCCAGAAGACATTTTTGCTTTTGTATCCATCCAATTATTCCATGAGTGTAAGGTTTTGTTTAGTTGCTTCATGTAAAGTTTTTAGATGTCACCTGTTTCATGGGTGTTCGGATACTAATACAAAGACAAATTACAGAATCCGTCTTTAATCCGCGAGACGAATTTATTAAGACTAATTAATCCTTTATTAGCATATGTGTTATTGTAGCACTTTATTGTCAAATCATGGACTAATTAGCCTTAAAAAATTTGTCTCACAGATTACTCGTAAACTGTGTAATTAATTATTTTTTAATATATATTTAATACTCTATATAGGTGTCTAAACATTTGATGCGACACACTGTAAAATTGGTATTTATGAGCCAATTTGGACCTCGGTGTGCGATTGGTAAGAAATAGAAGATGAGAATATTTATACGCGTGTAAGCTGTTACCAAAGGAGCACAGTTAAAAACATTTGAAAAGAGGGAGAGTGGTGTGATGCTGTGACCTGTGAGCGGTGACTAACGGAAGTGTGCGGCAGCACATGGGTGGGCCCTACACGGAGGAGTGTCGTTGAAAAAAGAAAATACAAGGAGAATACGGTGTAAAAAGAAAGTTTTTTTACAACAATGGAAAAAGAAAGTTGGCACAGGAGAATACGATGGAGAGACAAGGTTGTCACAGATCTCGAGAACATCTTTTGACAGTGAGGATAGGAGCCGCCGTCCAGCAGGACATGCCGCGAGACATTTTTGCTTTTGTATCCACCCAAGAGTGCAACTTGCACAAGAAGGCTGCGTTTAGTTCCTAAAAACTTTCTCAAAAAGTGCTATAGTAGCTATCACATCGAATCTTGCGATATGTGCATGGAGCATTAAATATAGACGAAAAAAAACTAATTGCACAGTTTGATTAAAAATTATGAGACGAACATTTTGAGCCTAATTAGTCCATAATTAAACACTAATTACCAAATAAAAACGAAAATGCTACGGTAACTAAATTCCTAAATTTTGCGAGCTAAACACGCAGATAAATGCCACAGAGGCCCTGTTCGCTGGTTGGTGCTGGTGCTGGTTTGGACTGGCTGGTGCTGGTTTTTTATGAGAGAAAAACACTGTTGGCTGGTTGGATTGGGCTGGTTGAAACCAACAAGCGAACAGGTTGAGACACGACAGTACGTCAGTACCCGAATGCCAATGTTCTGAGAACATGCAGCCGCTCATAGGGTGTTTGGATTAGTCGCTAGGTGTTAGAAGTCGCTAGGTGTTAGAAGATGTTTGGTTCTCTAGTTGCTTCTAAAATTTATGACACATCGAATATTTAGATACTAATAAGGAGCATTAAATATAGATTAATTATAAAAACCAATTACATAGATGAAGGCTAATTTGCGAGACGGATTTTTTAAGCCTAATTAATCCGTCATTAGCACATATGTACTGTAGCACCACGTTGTCAAATCATGGACTGATTAGGCTTAAAAGATTCATCTCGCAAATTAGTTGCAAGTTGTGTAATTAGTTTTATAATTAGTCTATATTTAATATTCCATGCCTGTATCTAAACATTCAATGTGACAGAAATTTTAGGAGGTACTGCAGAAACCAAACATGCTCTTACCTAAGGTGTTGTTTGGATACTAATAAAAAATTAAATTATAGAACCAGACAACAGTTCTATATATATTCAAACATCCGAACAGCGCCTAAAGTTCACTAGGTCAAACACACTACAAGCCTTGTCCGATTAGAAAATCACGAGCTCTCACTAATTTGTCGTTTCTAGCACCGTTGTTACATTTACTGATTTACCCTCGAACCAGACGACTTCGAAGCATACTGTTCCAAGTCTTCTCCGTGCCCTCAAAGTTGAGAGGTGAGAGCCTGAGATCCCCATTCTCAGTCAACCGCGAGTCCCGATCCCGACTGCGAAAAAGGGACTCGGATATTGGATCTGGGACGAAACTGGTGCTCAATTGATCCAGCGCATGCTCGATCTCAAGGCGGCGAAGATGGAGGCCGCCCTTCTGGGCGGGTTAATCAGAGCCATCGTGCCGAAGCTCATCTCGCTGGGTCACGAGAGATACAAGCTGCAAAAGAGCGTAGTCTCCGGAGAGAGCTCCCGTTACGTTATTTCTATTTTTCCGCTATGTCATTTATAACCATTATATTATGTTTTAATGTCGCTAAATTGATTAGCTGTGACTTTAAAATAGCGTTGCTATTTCAACTTTAGCTTTTAGAGTGACAATCTATTTATTATATATTTATCTTTTGCTGTTAAGTTGATGTTTTAGAAAATTGAACACTTGAGTCTCACAAATTGTGCTATAATATCATATTAAATAATATTCCCTAGACTCCTAAAGTCTTGAAAACATATTTATGTTGAGTAATTTTCATGATTCTTGCATTTTTATGAAATAATTATTTGATTTTTTTATAGTTTTTTTAAAAACTCCTATCTATCATAGCTGCGCTATAGCTTCGTAGCTTCTAGAAAAAAAAAGATGCCGCTATTTGCAATAGCCGGCTATTTTAAACTTAGGTTCCTCGTCAGGAGCTCCGCTTGATCGTCGGCTCCATCGACGATGGGATCTCCGAGCAGGGCGAGGACCACGGGGCCGTGTCGGGCTTGCTCATCGAAGACCTGCGCGAGCTGGCTTTCGGCATCGAGGACTTCTTGGATAGCCTTATGTACCACACAATCTGGAAGCAGCAGCCGGCCTCGTTCCAGAAAATCGCTCGGCTCCCCAAGATGCTGCGCGCTCGCCTGCAGTTCGCCGGCTCCGCCGAGCGGCGGCGGCTGAGGAACCTGACGACGGAGGCGTACGAGCGGAGGAAGAGATTCACGGCGGGCACGGGCCCAGCACACCAACAGCCCTCGGCTGCTGCTGCGACGACTCCGATGGGTGAGTCGCCGTCGTCGGTATTCCATCCGCGCAACGTCGGTGACACGGATCTAGTGGGCGTCGACGGGCTCCGGGCGGAGCTCCTCGTACGGACATTAAAAATATTAGCTTTCTTCAGATTGTATTTGATATGTACTCTCTTTTCTTTACCAAATATAAATTATTAATTTTGTTGCTCATGAATGAACTTTTTAAATTGTTATTTGTTTCATGGCATTATTAATGCTAGTTTTCTTTTTTCCTAAGTTTCCCTTTTTTTCTTATTTGTGATTGACACAACTCGTACGGACATTTGATTATTTATTTATTTATTATTCTGAATTTCATCAATCTATTAATATGTGGAAAAAGCCTACATAAGCCCTTAAGTATTGGTAGTTGTCTATTTTACCCCATCACCTATAAAACCAATTATTCTACCTCTTAAACAATTGGAAACCATCTGAATAATCCCTTGAGGTGGTTTCGCTAACATGGCATATTGTTAGAAAAGAGGACTAGAGGGTTATTGGGCTGGCCACATGGCCCTGGCGCCCAGGGGGTCTAGTGGCATGTGATTGAGTCTTACGCAAGGATCTCCGTTAATTGGGTACTTGATTCTATAAACCCTAGGACATCCTTGCCTATATATGTTGTACGCATTGTACCTCATCAATCAATCCATTCTATTCCCGAACACACTTTCCTTCACATATTAAAAAAGTTCACATAGCCCTTCCCACTAACATATTAAGGGTTGATTCCGTCTTCAAGTATAAAATATGATATTGTAACCCTTAAAGTATTAAATAACGTTCAAATGTCCCTTTCGGATGGTCTTGTGCGGTTGTTTGGACACCGCCACACTAGTCTAAGTACCGCTTGCACGCAGATCCATTTGTTGCGTCCACCCCTGCTACTCTTTCTAGGATGACCCACCGCCCAACGAGCAGCACGTGACATCTTATCCCCTGCTCCACCTTCGGGAATTCATCAACGACATTGAGCTCAAGCACCATGCTTGCACCCCCGTCATCCGGTTCATCCCATACCTTCCATCTGGTCGTCCTTCAAATTTTTAGGTAGCTGTAGGAGGAGAAAGCAAGAGGGGCGAGGATATGGACTCATAACCAAGCTTATTTTTATTTGTTTATTAATCCAAATTTTAGGTATTTATTATTTGTGTGTAACAGACTCATAATGAAACAAATAATTGTATTTTTTCAATTTCCATAGTATATAATTTGTATTTGACATGGACTCATAATCCAACTTCTAATTTTATTTGTCTTATTCCAAATTTCAACTATTTTTATTTGACCAGATGTTATATGGAAATCAAATTACTAAATTCAACTGTCAATGTGTCTCAATTAACTTATCATTATATCAATTTACCCACCTACACTTTTGTCATATTTCATTGAAAAGCATATACTTAACCCCTGAACTATTGGCATTTGTCTACTTTACACTCACCTAGAAAACTATGAATTATACCCCTTAAAGTAATAAAAATTGTCTAAATAGGCCCTTGGGATGGTATCGAAGGCAATTTTGTTGACATGGTATATTATGTCACTGGGAAGGTGTGGAGGGGTGTGTGAGTGTTTTTGGGTCTATGTATGACCATTTAAAATTTTACCCCTAACTTTTTTTATAGTTGAAGAGGTCATGTAGTTAAACCCTCGATATGTTAGGGGGTTTTGTAGATATTTTTTCTACTTTTTGCTGACTCAGATCCATGTCAGCATCCACGTAATATGTCACATTATCAAAACCATTCCAATAGGTAATTTAGATGGTTTTCAATACTTTGAGGGGTAAATAGGATAGGGTGTGAAGTAGACGAACACCAATAGTTGAGGAGGCGAAGACCAATGGACTATTTGACCTACTTGCAATCTACGAAGAATCACATTATCAAAACCATTCCAATAGGTAATTTAGATGGTTTTCAATACTTTGAGGGGTAAATAGGATAGGGTGTGAAGTAGACGAACACCAATAGTTGAGGAGGCGAAGACCAATGGACTATTTGACCTACTTGCAATCTACGAAGAATCTTCTGATCTAGATCAGTTTCATAGAATTACAGCTACTTGCACTTCAGTTTTACAAAGCCTAAAAACATTTTATGTTGATCCACATGCCAGCCATACAAAGCCACAGAACACTGTTCCAGAAAAGTGGATGTGCCTGACGAGTGGATCTAGTAATCCTCACATGATGTTATAGGTTTGTGATACTGATAACACAAGTAACTATAGTATGTGACTCTGTCCAAGAAGTTATAGTTCCTTGTTCCTTGATAGTTATATGAAAATAGTTGTATCTTGTAGAATTAACCCTATTTTTAGGTTTGTGCAAGACGCACTATGTTAGTATAGCATAGGCTCATTTGATTGTTATGAGCGTTAGGCCACATGAGACGCTTGCCGCACCTCAGACACCTCATGTTTGAGGGCGAATATAAGCCAAGAATAGGTAGTGACCATTTTACCTAATTTTCTGGCTGGATGTCCTTATGTTGAAGTTGAAGTCTGCTGCAACATGTGGATACCTAGGGATGAAAACGGATCGGATATCACCGATATTACATTTGTTTTCATATTTCTGTCCAGATTCGGATTCGAATACGGATAGTGTCAACTATGTCGGATAGGATACGATTGGATATCGACATCATAAATATGTGATTTGAGTATTTGGATACGGATACGGTATCGGATGTTGGATATCCGGACTCGGATACGGACAGATCTTAACCCCTCTAAACGGATTCGGTTTCGAATACGGTCGGAAAATATCCGTACCGTTTTCATCCCTACGGATACCACATCAATGAATGGGGTAGTTTGGTTCTTATTGTGGTACTAATTAAAGTGATAAATTTTAGTTGTTCAAGAGTGTGATATGTAGAGTATGTGGTTCAAGGTCAATTTTCAGGGTGTAAATAAAACAGACTTTAACACAAGATTGTGAAGGAAGTTTTTTTTTTTTTGCTGAAGTAACGAATTATGCTGTTTATAGAATGTATTTAAGTCCTTTCTTGATTGTTTATTTTAGGTATTTAATTGTGATAGATGACATTCAAACAGAAGATATGTGGGGAAACATCAATTCAGCCTTCCCAGACAACAATGGTTTTTCCAGTAGAATACTGGTGACAACAACTATTCAACCAGTAGCTATCGCCTGCAGCTCCGCTGAAAGCTATATGCACAAAATGAGAAGACTCGACGAGGGATGCTCGAAACAATTGTTCACCGTTAAAACTTGCCCAGAGGAATATTCCTGTTACAAGCAGCCGGATTCAGAAGCAATTTTGAAGAAATGTGGTGGCCAGCCACTTGCTCTGGTAACCATAGGTGAATTCTTTTTTTTTTTTAACAATGGCAGGAGCTCTGCCTTTCAATTAAGACGAATGAAGTTTATATACAAGCAAAAGGTAGCCAAGCGTGGCGCCAAACACCACGAAAGGTTACTTATCCACGCAACGCGACAGAGTACACACTACCATGAGTCATCGTTGCCGAGCATAGTTGCAAAGCAGCTCGCAGCTTCGACTTCCCATGGCAAAACACCGACAACCCATCATAAGATGTCAAACCAACGGGCCCGAAGCAGTAGGCTGCAGCAGGTCATCGTTGCCGAGCTCAACGGCCCCGCGAAGAGCAGCTCCGACTTCCTGCCAAGATCCAGGTGAATTCTTGAAAAAACAGGGTTGGCCGATAGGACCTTCAGTAGGCTGTAGCAGGTCATCGTTGCCGAGCTCAACGGCTCCGTGAAGAGTAGCTCCGACTTCCTGCCAAGATCCAGGTGAATTCTTGAAAAAACAGGGTTGGCCGATAGGACCTTCATGCGAAGATATTTGCAACAAGTTACATTATCATTTGGAGAATGACAGAACTTTTGAGGCCATGCGACGGGTGCTGATCCACAATTACACCAGTCTGCCATGCGACGGGTGCTCTGAAAGCCTGCTTGCTATATTTTGGTATGTTCCCAAGTGATTATCAGATCAAGAGAAAAAGTCTGTTGAGACTATGGTTAGCTGAGGGATTTGTTGAATTACAACCTTCAACTACCACCCCGGATTCTGCAACTGCTTTTGATATGCTCAAGCATCGGAACATCATTGAGCCCGTTTATATAAGCAACAATGAAAATGTGAAGACATGCCAAACTTACAGCATGATGCATGAGTTTATTTTGCACATGTCAGTTTCTCAGAACTTTGTCACATTGCTTTGTGATGAGATGACCGAACACAAATATGTTCGGCGTCTTTCTGTCCATAAAAGTGCTGCTATAGATGGAAATAATTTGGACACCAATGTTTTATCTCTCGTTCGATCTCTGACAGTTTTTGAGAAGCCTAGTGAAGGTATTTTGGACTTCAGCAAGTATCGCCTTCTGCGAGTCTTGGATCTAGAAAGGTGTGATGACTTGAACGATAATCATGTCAAAAACATATGTTGTCTGTTGCTACTGAAATATCTGAGCCTTGGAAAAAATGTTACCAAACTTCCAAAGGATATTTCAAAACTGACGCTTTTGGAGACACTTGATTTAAGGGCATCCATGGTAGCTAAGCTTCGGGCAGAAGTCTTCCATATGCCTTGTTTAGTTCATCTGTTTGGAAAGTTTAAGCTCCCTGATGCAGTAGATTTTCCAAAGCAAGGAAGAAGTGTCTTGCAGACGCTAGCAGGATTTATCGCTGACGGAAGTCAAAGTTACTCAAAACTTATGGACCACATGATAAAACTGAGAAAGGTGAAGGTTTGGTGCGAGTCATCAGTAGGTGCTGGTGGCACTGAGTGGAATAGTCTTCAGGAAGCCATTCACAGGTTCATCTAGGATAAAAATGTAAGAAATATTGGTGATCGTTCTCTATCACTTCATTTTGACAGAACCTTTAAAAACTCCCTAAATTGCCTAAAAGAACCCTCTTACCTGAGCTCATTGAAATTACATGGTGAATTGGACGCATTACCTCAGTTTGTTATTTCACTCCGTGGTCTCAAGGAGTTATGTCTTTCATCTGTTAAGTTTACAACTCGCTTTCTTGAAGCTTTGACTCAGTTGAGTGACTTGAAATATTTAAAACTGATTGCTGACGACCTTGAGAAGTTCACCATAAAAGCTAAGGCATCCCCCAGCTTGCTGCGTCTTTGTTTTGTGCTGCAACATCCAAAATTTCCAACAATTCAAGAAGGATCTATGAAACACCTCAAGACACTTCAGTTGGTCTGTAAGGATCTACATGGACTTTGTGGTATCAAAATAGAATATATGAAACTCCTTAAGGAGGTTATTCTTCATGATGGAGTTGATCCACATACATGGGTAAAATGGGAAGAGGCTGCGAAGGAACATCCAAATAAGCCAAAGGTTTTGCCATCCAAAACTGTTGAAACTTCAAAAAGGAATCCTACAGCCGAAATTTCAAAATGGGAGCCCAGAGAAAATTCTGATGTTTTGGTGCCACCCAAAATTGAGTTCACAGAAAATTCTGTCACGTCAATAGGATCCTTACAAGACAAGTTCACTAGTGTGCCAGTAAACCAAGAATTAGAATCATCTGCTTTACTGAAGACACATAGCATTTGTGCTGTCCAAGCAAGTTCAGATGAAGGAACGAATGCTTCTTTCAATCATATGGGAGTTTTTGAGGTTTCTCCCTTGACCAATTTGTCAAAAACTGCTAGTAATGCAGAAAGTGAGCCTATGGTGGTTTGTGTTCCAGTAGAGCTAACCAAAGTTGAATCTGCAAACAATTCTGCTTCGACAGTTGAAACAATAGAACAGACTGACACTCAAATTCGAGTGAACCAACAATCGGGGTCCATTGATGAGCCAAAGAGGCAGAATACCGATATACAGAATCATGCTTTCAAGAGTACAGGGTTTTCCGAGGATTCTCTTTCAACCGAGTTGTCAATTACTGGGCACGACATGGTGCCTTCTCATACACTTCAAGGATGCTGATCCTAATTTTGCTTCTTATTTTCAGTCATTTTCCCGTCCATGTGTGCAGGTATCCTGCACTTCTATAAAAATCCATCACTGTTTCTAATAGAATACTATAGTCAGCTAGCCATCTTGTATTATGTGATCCATGCTACTCTCTCAATTCTGAATTTTAAGGTCATTTTGTTAGATATGTGGCATATATTATATGTAGGAGTTCAAATTTGATCAAGTTTTTTAAAACATACACTATAAGTTCAAATAAATGCATTATCAAGACATTGTATGAAGGATTAGTGAAACTAATTTGATGTTTTAGTGTTAGTGTATTTTTCTACATAATTGGTCAAAGTTAGAGAAATTTGATTTAGTCAAAGTCAGAGAAATTTGATTTAGAATAAAACTGAAGTGATCTACAGTTTGGCTGGGAGTTGGCTTATTATTCTCTCCTACTTTTTCTTCTCATGATTAAATGATATGCAACTCTTCAATGTTATTAAACAAAAGCTCAATCTAGAACTTGTCACACTGAATTACAAATTGACCTCGTCGACAAATGGCATGGTACTAATCGAGGAAAAACAAAGTAGTAATACTCTCTTGTTACAAAAGTAGTATGTTGGAAATTAGCCCTCACAGCTTCAAGTTAACTATTCTCCACGTGCACAAGCATCGATTGAATCTACAAAGATGAATATGTAAGATAACGACACCATAGGCATGACATTTGTTGATGACTGATGAGATTCAACCGAGGCCTACGTTATTACAGGCACTCCTCCTCAATACCATGACATCCACTAGTGGAGAAACGGGCTGTACTTCCGATTCTCAACCGCCTTCAGTCCCAATTTTGGAACCAGGAGTACCAAATCGGGACTAAAGGTCCCCTCCTTTAGTTCTGGTTTCGTGTCCGGGACTAAAGGGCCTCTCGGCCTGGCCACGTGGGGCGGCTCTTTAGTCCCGGTTGGTATTACCAACCGGGACTAAAGGTTTCCTTTTTTTCTTTTTTTTTCTATTTTCAATTGATGATTCGTTTTGGTTTTCGAATAGGTTTTCGAATACGCATTCTATGCTGCTAATAATATACGTATTCTACACGTTTATAATGTTCGAACATTTTGTACAAACTAAAGTATGAAACTAACGTATATATTACATGCATATACATATATTGTACGCTATTTTATGTATATATATATATATATTACAAATAAAGGTTGCATTGTATATTCTATCATATCCTTGGGATAACAAAATCACTCCATCTAGTTTGGCTTCCATGTTTCGTTGACGTTATTGTAGAACTTGCCGGCGGGGTTGAGAACCTGGTCATTAAGAAATCCTGCTATGGTCTCTTAAATTGCTTTCAGTTGATCACGTCGTATGACTTTTTCCTTCAACCATAGAGTCTTCAATAAAAGTTAAAGGAAAAGTATTAATATATATATATATTTGGTCACTTGATTACTTATATATATGAGCAACAAAAGAAATTGTGAATATATGAATATATTTATATAATATACTTTGAGGATCTCTTTAGGAGTTCTTTTTGTGTACGCCCTGATAAACTCGCAAACATAGTATCCACAGTAGTTGTTCTCCTGTTCTTGCCTCAGAACCCACTTTTACGAGAAAAAAGATTTGGTGAATTGAAAGCATGCATGGTGTTAATTAAATTATATATATATATAAATGTAGATAGTACTTACTTTGTGTGCGATTACATCCAGTGGCGCTTTGCAATGTTTCATGTGGTGATTCTCAATGAAACTTTTCTAAACACTGCGCCCAATAAAATAAAACATTAATTTTGTCTTTAATAATTATTGCAGTTAAGATATCAGGGTATATATAGTTGCTAGAGAGACCATATTACCCTTGGATAATATCTATCATGTCTTGGTACTCTATTTGCTCTTTTCTTAACGAGTCTAAGATTCTCAACCGACTATTGGCCATATCGATAACCATCAATATCCAATGATTGCTGCATATATTTTTATACACAAATATGATCGACATTAACTAGAGTCAACATATATGTATATATATGGGAGATAGCTTAGCTAGTAAGCAAATAATTGAACAAATGTCCATATGATCGACATTAATTATTTAACACTCACTTGAAGTTGTAGGGGAAGAGTATGTCCTTGTTTTGTTGGTTCACTAAGAACCTCATGAGATTTTTCTCGAGTTCAGCTTTCCATTGAGGCGGGGGATTAGGGTGTTTGAATACGACATTTGGATCAACGAAACCAACATCATTATCCTTTCTCTTTCTGAGTCATATATAAAAATATAGTGTGAGGATATATAATGTATATATATACATGTAGCTTTATATATACACACTTTAATAGTAGAAAATAATCACACTTACAGACAATAGCAGCTAATGAGACTTTTGTCGAGAGAGTCCAGGTGGCATAGTTGGTGTAATTCTTCAAACTCGACATATATAACGTCATCGCCACGGAAGTAATGTTGGTTTCTAACTCTGACAGTAACAAAGGCCTCTCCCCGTTCATACGCCGCCATGTACCACTTGTTTAGCAGGTACATTTGTGTACCCAGTTCACCTAAAGCCTCAGGGTTGTATAGACTCTTTCCAAGTTTAAATTTCTTCCAAGGATCCACTTTCGGAGCAAATGGTCCTTCAGCGAACACTTGGGCAAGGTCCAAACCAGTTTCCTCGTAAAACCGAGCCAGCTCCTCAAAATCGACGCCTAAGTTAAGTTCGAACCATATTCATTACGAATGACAAGAGGGGGGACTGATTGTTGCGATTGTTGTCCGAGTTGTGCAACACCTTTCCCTGGTCTAGTCTTTTTCTGCGCCGCCTCAAATGACTTGGTGAGAGAGCGGTCGTAGTTCGATTTTGGCCGGGTCTTTTGAGATTTCCGCTTTTTCTGGTCCACCTCCTTTCTTAGAAGATTTGGAGGTAGGTAGAAGTATGATTTCTCCGGGTTCTCCCTCTCTTCTCGTTGTTTTTTTACTTTTTCGAAGAAACTGTCCACATCTTTTTTTTACTGCAGCTTTTAATTCCTTTTCACTTTTATCGAAAGACAGTTTTTGGGAAATAACTAGATTAGATGAGGCTTTCTTCTTTGCCGGCTGGTGGGACAACGACTTTGTTTGCGGGGCGGACCTCTTAGGAGCTGGCTTCCTCTTAGTCATCAAGGGAGGCGGGGAAGCCGTTGGAGGCGTTGGAGACCTCCTTGGAGGCGTTGGAGACCTCCTTGGAGGTGGCGGCGGTGGCGGCGTTGCCACCTGATTGCCTGGAGCACTATGATGATCTGGAGATTGAATAATTAGACTTAGGTTGGCGGAGGCCCTACTGTGTGATTACAAAAAAGAATAATTAGGTATAAGAAATTGTTATTATTAATCATGCATGTCAATAGAAAGTTTATGAAAAAATTGTTTCGTTCACTTTTGTCCGCACCTATTGTCTGGCAGTTGAGGAAGCGGCGGTGGACTAGAGACCCCGGGAATAATGATGTAGCGCTTGCGCCATAGTATGAATATTTTCTCTGCTTCTCCTAGAGTCTTCTCCCCATCACCTCCTGGAATGTCAAGAGGCAGGTCACTAAAACCTTTGTTAACTCTATCCACTAAGACGCTAACATATCCAGGTGGTATTATTGCCCTATGGATTCTTGGTGTCTTGGTAGGATCTGGAGGAGAAAAAACACCGAGAGCCACCATGATTGTGGCATTCTCTTTTGGAATATATAGCTCACATGATGTAAACGGTGCAGTGATGTCATCCACGGGGAAACGTAGCATTGTGTCATCTTGATTTGGCAACTCCGTGGAAGCGCAGCTGCTTTTCAACTGATCAGGGGGGCTAATATTAATGTTCATTCCTGGATCTGATGCCTGCCTCTTGGCACTCATTGCTATTTGCACTTCCTTTATGATTTCGTCCTGCATTCTAGCTTGCATGTCTTTTTCGCGCTCCTGTGCTTGAAGCAACGCCTCCCGTGACTCTTGGGCAGCACATGAAACCATCACGTTTATTTGCCTCGGCCACACGTAAGAAAGAATGCACGCCCTCAATGAACTCTTGGGAGCGGCGATCAGCATTGTACATCCAATGCCGGCTCATCTGCATTACATGACATACATACCATATTAAAATCTAGAACATAATTAGTTAATTATACGACATGCATGCTACCACATAAGGTATTAATTTATGAAAGTCTCGCTACAATGTAGACAATCCCAACTACCACTAAAAAAACTAAAGCTAAAATGCACTTCAGCAGCATAAGGATTTCGCAACCAATCCCAACTAAAACAGACAGATCATGCGTTTGTTCAACATCTATGGGCTTCTTCCGCAGGATCACTGTCTCATCAGCCACCGTAGCCGCCTGTGGAAGAGAGTTTTACACGTGTTCAACATATTCTTCCTCCCAGTACCAGCCTGAACATCTAGTGCCATCCCACTGAAATTAAAACAAAAAATTAGAACTTTAATCACAATCATCATGAAAATAAGTATAAATTAACCATAATCATCAAATGCGACAAAATAACCCACATTGCGATCCGGATACTTGTAGAAGATACGGCCCTTGTTGGGACACTCCTTCCTCACCCGGTACTCCATCACAATCTTCTCCTCACACTTGCCGCATGCAATGAGAGGAAGGTCCAGCCTCAGTCGCTTTGAAACCCGATGAGAGACCGAGGACCCGGAAGCAGTTGTCATCTACTCTCTATACTCATTTTTAATATAATATAAATTTCTCATTTTATAAACAAATAAAATTAAAAAAACTCTAAAATTCTCTATATCTCTAAACCATGAAGTGTGCTATGCATGCTAGAATTGAAAACTCAATACTAGTTTTGAATAACTACTTTAACCTTCCTTCATCCAAATACGCAAACTTTAAAATGATTTTGAGCTTAATTGGCTTACAAATAAAAAAATCTAACATAAAAAAACACATATATCTAGTCCACAAAATGAAATAAGCTACTGATGAAACATG